GAAGGGGATCTGCAGGAGTACACCAGAACATTTAGCATTGCAGGTTGCCTGTCCTGTCTGCTCTTAATGCTGCTGTCAGTCACTGGGGCTTGCAAACTTCTCTTATTTGGCACGCTCTCTGGTGAGTACTAAACTGGGTTTAGAGGTGTTTAGTAAGAAGGCAGTAAAGTGCTTGACTCCTCTGATCTGTACCCTACCATCTCTGTCTTGCAAGTATCCGTTCCCTTGATAACTAAAAAACCATCTGAATGGAGGAAAAAATAACATCAGAGCCAGAAAATCTTCAGCTCATACCCGGCAGGCTGCTCCTCTGCCAGGGCAGGATCTTTCCTTCATGTTCCTTTTTCCGTTGTTCGGTTTTAATTTAGTTCTCAACAGCTCACGCAGTAATCTCCCACCTTCCATTTGGTCACTGATATTTGGTCACTCATCCTCACGAGTTATTGCTTACTGAAGCCAGACAGATTTAGCTCTTCTAATCTTTCCTGGTGAGTCAGTGCTGCTGGCTCCTGAACTCCTATGTGTCTCTTACATTTATGTGCTATGTAAGTACCCTCTCTTTTGTTGAGGTGTTCCTGGACACACAGAGTTGAATGTGATGTCTGTGTAAAGACGTCTAATGGTGGGTGCGAGGGGGATTAAGAAGCACAGACCTTAGTGAGACATGGTGATCCTTTAACGGTATTTCCCCTGCTCCTTGCAATCTGTAGTTTAGGATTTCTGGACTGTTCATACCGTTGTACTAGACACAGTGGAGCTGCTGTCTATGAAATTGTCTGATCTCTCCAGCGCCTTTTCTACATTTTAGTTCCACAGGATTTAGTGGTAATAAATTATGTAATTTATTTGTGCTTTATATTAAAAAGCATTTTTTTAAGCCTGCTGCTGAAATTTCATTGGATATCCCTAATTCCTTTGTTGTTACAAACATGGAATAATCATTTCCTATAAAGTTATTAATGGCATGAAAAGATAAAAAGATGTCTATCCATCCCCCTCCCGTATTTGAAGGCTCCTAGCCTCCCCTCATATGGAACTATTAACGTTTTTACTCTCGGTGATTTGGAATACGATCGGGCCTGATGCAGTTCTCGGCAGAACCCTACTTCTTGGTTCTTCACTGATGAGTAGTACTTGACCTCTGCTAGTTCTTAGCTTGTATAATATACACCTGAAACCAGCATCATATGATGTCAGTAAGAATGTTTTGTGATAACAAGTTTCATATTTTACGAAAGTCTGCTTATTAAATCTTTACTATTACTTTATCAGCCAAGTTTGGAGTCTTGTCAAAGAATGAAATAGAGGTGTGTTTGTTGGGTTTGCTGATAGTTAACAGGCATCACCCTGTGTAATCTCTTAGTCTAACAGCACAATGTAAATGCTACTTCAGGGTATCAAGATTCCAGAATTTTATAAATGCTCTATAAGCATATCAGAGATCTCAGTCAGTTGTTAGGACTCTTGGGTACAAGTTATCCAGTCCTTTTGACTTTTAAAATGGTTATTCCTTATTGATGATATTAAGTGGATTCTTCAGCTGCTGTTGGAGTGAAGCGTGATTCATCAACTTCATGTGATGCATGTACATCATCATGCTTCTGTCCAAATACAAATCAGAAGTATTTATCGCATGTTTGCTTTTGCTGTGTCATTGTTGACAATCCAGTCTCATTTAACGTTTCAAGTGATGTAAATGCAGGGATTAGACACTTACATACCTCCAGATGTATAGCAAGTTATAAAAAGATGCCCGTGCTTGCAGAAACTCCCTGCCTTCTGGAAATAAAGCCCTTAAAGCCCCACTCCCTTGGATATATCTGGAGGAACAACTTGGTCTTTCAGCAGGTTCTGAAGTACAACAGCTCCATGCTTTGGCAGATGAATCCTGTGAATGTCTAGTTTGCTACCTCTGTGTCTGCTGTGCTCCTGCCAAGAGCAAGTTGCAAAAATCCTTAGCTGGCAGTTGCAAAGCACAGCGTTGAACACTGTTTCAAGTCTGTTGGGCAATACTCAGATATCCCTGACTGCTTCTGAGAAGTAAGCCTGTCCATGTGTGCAACATTTCTAGTTTCTCCAGAATAGTATACATTTACTCGCTGCAAGTTGGAAAATCTTGCAGGATCAAGTGAATCTGTTAAAAGATAGCTATATTAAAAATGTATGAAAAATAGGTTGAGATCGAATCAGTCCTTGTTTGAGTGTGTTCCCCGGAGACATACTGGCAGAAACACAGGTGGGACTGAGGGGGAGGAGATATAACTGCTTCCTTGGCTTTGGTGCTTTGGTGCCATCGATGATAAATAGGTTTTCCCCCCAGTCTCCAGTGGGAGTTCAGGGACATGACAACTCTAGGCTGAAGTGGCAGCTTTTTCAATTTTCCCACTTTTCTCCTTCCCCAGTAGCATTTTTCTGTGAAGGGCATGGATGCTTGTCTGTCTGGGAGGAACTAGGAAGAAACTCTGGATATGTTGCCCACTTAACAAAGGTTTGCCCTTTCTGCAAAGGAAGGAGCCAGAATCAGTTGAGCAGCACGTTTTTAGGTGGGGAGTATCACAGATCAGTTGTTACATCTGAGATGAGCTATTGCTGGGCTGGATCCCTGGTTCTAGGGGGAAAAAATGCAAGAAGAGAAAAGTACCCAGGAAGGTCACTGGTAAGAGTGATAGCAGGTGGTGGAAGCTGTGCTGTCCCTGCTGTTAGCGCAGCTGTTTGCTGTGTTTCCAGAGTATCAGTCTAGACATCATGGAAGTCAAGGCAGCTTTGAAGTAGCCTTAGGACAGGTGTGTGTTTGGGAAGAAATAACTTACTGGTTTAGTGCGAAAAGCAGTGTCTGGGCTGTAATGTGAAATATTGAATATAAAACTGAAAGGCCATTATAGGCTACTGGATCCAGTTTCTTCTTTCTCAGGTTCATATTCATTTCTATTATTCTTTTCATAGACTTCAAACAAACATTCACCAGTTCAGTTTCTTACCACACTGTTTTTATGGGAGAACTAATTTGCTTTAAGCGTTTGAAATCTTCTTTCCAGCCTAAATATACTTATGTCCAATTCAAGCCCATTTGCTGCTGTTCTAGCAGTGTCTTTAAGTTTAACTAGGTCTGGTTCCTTCTTGGTGTTTTGCTTTTATGTTGATAGACATAAGGTTCTTAACCTTCAGTCCAGTTGACTTTTCTGGCAAATTTCCCCATATTTTCAGTCTGGTTTCTATGAATTTGTGAAATCCATGGGTTTTGTTGTTTATCTTTCAGTTAGTTTACACAATCAACTTACTGTGCAACTGAAAGTGACTTTCTGTAACCAGTGACATTTGCATAGTCCTCGTTTATTGCCAAAAATAGCAATCCTGTCCTATTGATTCAGGCACTGAGCAAAACCATCAGCTATCTTACTTGGAAATACCTGGATCCTGTTATTAAAACACTCCCTAGTCCTTGTCTGGAGACCTAGTTTTCCATCGTCTTTGGGAGTTTTTGTGTTGAATATAGATATAAGTCTTTAGAGCATTACTAAAATCCAGTGAGACTGGAAGAAAAAAAGTGGTATTTTTCATTAGGTCCTAATAGACTTCTTCACGCAAGAAGCGTTAGTCTAATCTATAACTGGTTTTAAAGTGTGCTATCAATGACATGCAATGCTATCTCATGACAGCCACATTTCTCTGTCTTACCTGAATAATCCTTGTCGTTCAATACTTGAATTTACTCAATCTCTAGGTCTTGCACCAGAGACGATGTACTTGTGGTTTGTCTAGAATCAGGTATTTCCTTGTGAAGATCCCAGCAGCTTTCTGCTACACTGTTGTCTGGGCACCAAAGGAAATGACAAGGAACCTCATTTTAGTTCTGCATTTCCTGTGGTGTTTTTTCGGTTTTGTTTTTGTTTGAAACTTAACAGAATGTGAAGCCCCACAGGCTGTTGCTTCTGTCATTGTAGAAAGTGAAGAAGGATTTGAAGGGAGGGGTTAAGGAAAGCAAGTCTCCTGCTTCTTTTGCTGCCCACACTGTGGCCTGACCTAGGCCAGGTGGACCTGATGTTGAAGCTAGACACCTCTGCAGCAGCCGCTCTCCATTCTGGACTTTGTTTCCAGAGAAGTGACATCTGGAGGACAGCAAATTTGGTTCTCTCCAGGAGTCTATGTACATTTCTGTCACTTAACCTCACCAGCTCCTTGGCCCTGACAGATCCCTGAGAGAGTCCTATCCATTCCTTTCCCTGTATCCTACCACATGCTCCCTGTCTTCCTTCTCATGACTGGGGCAATGTGAACAGTTTATGCTGGTGTCCTGAATATAAGCAATTTCAGTTCAAGTTTGACCAAAAGTTTTGCTATTGGAAGTGGGCATAATTTGGTATGTAGAGGTGGGAGATAGGAAGGAGAAGAGACTTCTGGATTGCACAGCTACAATCCTGAGCCTGCCTGTGCAGAGGAGAGAAGAGGAAGGAGCCAGCTGGACAAAGCAGATGGCTTTTCTGGAATCACGCATTGATTTCCATCAATAGAGCAAAGCCAAGTATCTGTCCAGGGTATTCTGGAAGAGGTGCCATTCTTGTAATTGCACGCTATGTTGGGGTGACCCTTAGTCTCCCAGTAGTTGTATGGAATTACACCCCAAAGGGAGCCATGTGGTAGAGCTGGGCTGTGATGTGAACACTATCCCTGTTTCTTTATCCAGGCCCATCCCAGTGCTGCTCAGTTTACTTTGTGGTGGACATCTCATTCTGATGTGTTCATTACAGGCAAACTGACTCTTGATCTTGAGATATGGTTCAGGACTCAACTGCGAAAAAGGATTTGTTTGTTTAAATGTATTGTGACTTTGGTGCATTTGAGGCATGGATATCACAGCTTACACAAATATGTGAGCAGATGCATGCAGATGAAGTTTATGCTCTTGTGCTTATTCTTTAAGTAGTCATCCCTTGCTCTTCAAGATGTTTTGGGCATTCTCCTGGTCTGCACTGACCTGTAACCTGTGTCCATTCTGCTTCCAGTTGACACTGACTATCGTGCGGCAGACAGGGGGGCTGGGCATCAGCATCGCAGGGGGCAAGGGCTCCACCCCCTATAAGGGTGATGATGAGGTAAGACCCTGGTCTGTATAATTACTGAAGCACCTGCTTTCAGGGACTAGTTCTCTGTAGCTGGAGGTTGGATGTCCGTATGTATCAGCTTTGTGGCTGGGCTGGGCTTTCAGAGCAAGGTGGCAGGGCTGAGCAGGCTCTTGCCTCTGGAGCACAACTTGTACCTTCCTGCTACTGACCGCAGAGAGCAGCAATGAGAACAGCTGTTTCTTTCCCATCTGTGTCCTGATGTATAGGACTCACAAGGCAAGGAGTGTGGGTTTGTCTTCCATACATGTGGTGGCATCAGCTGCATCACGTTCTTGTCCCACTGGAAAAGGATTAAAGTGTCATTCCTTTTGTCACCTGTGGGGTAGCCCTGCAGTGGAATTTCTTTCCCCTTTCTACCAACTCCTGAATGGGGTGATGTAGCTGTCCTGTCCCCACATCCAGGGTACGGGATTGGCGAGGGATTTCCCCTTTCCCTTAAGTTGAACGGGGTGGAGTGGTCTCTCTACACTTTAGAGGGTTGAGGAATGGGCACCACCTCTTCTAACAAGTAGTTTTGTTTCCAGGGCATCTTTATTTCCCGTGTGTCAGAAGAGGGTCCTGCAGCTCGTGCAGGGGTTCGTGTTGGGGACAAGCTTCTGGAGGTAAGAACCTAGCTACTGTGAAGAAGTAAATGCTTCTAATGACTTGAAAGTGGAGGGAGAAGTATGGTTTGGTATTTGTTTGCATCGCGCTAGTTTGTAGGCCAAATTAAGCATCAGGAGCTGTGCAAGAGCAAAACAAAATTCCCCTGGCTCAAAGAGTTAGCTGTTTAATTAACATTACTGTTAATCTTTTGCTGCTTTATAAGGACAGAAATTGCTCCTGCGTTCATTCTCCCCCGACTCTGAACTGTTGTGTAACTCAGGTGGGAAGAAACACTCAGCAGTGTGTGCCCACGTCCCCAACAGGCTGACCAGCTGGCCTCTACACATCTGCTTTCCTGTATGGGGCAAAAGTGGACCTTGTAAGATAACTTCTTAACCAGGGAGCCAGCCATATACTGTACTTGCCTGTCTTCAAATTATTTAAAAACATGATTAATCATACAGGATTGAGATGCACTTGAGGAAGGATTGATTGCATTATAGAGGGAATAGTTGTCACTACAGTGCTGGACAGAGATCAGAGGAATAAGTGGCCTGTGTTTGTGCGATCTGGTGTGGTGTCTCTAGGTATCTCATGTACTCCTACTCACTGCAGCCTGCATATTAGCAGTGGAGACCTGGCCATTTGCCTGAGTAGATGTTCCAGTCTTTCTCACCACTTACCTGGCTTTGACCATGGTAGAAGTCAAATAAAGTGCTATGTGGTTCTGTAAGTAGAAGTTTTTGTATTGCTTCATGAGAAAAATTTGATTCTGGAGTTTCAGAAGTTACCTTGTTCACTTCTGTATTTATCATAGTCTTGATAATTCCATGAAGTTAAGTCCAAAAAGGAACACGCACTTGATCTAGCCTGGTCTTTTGTATGTTTTAGGGCCTTAAGTGTCACCGAGCATCCTTGTGCTGCATGCATCATACGGCATTTTGCTGCAGAATTTCTTCCAAAAGGGAGTCAGATCTTGAAGATTTTGAGAGATGAATGATTATTCCCTTTCCCAACAGTTAAATTCATGGCACCCTACTATTTCATATAAAGTAGATCCCTCTTCAGTTACAGCTTTGGGAAAAGACTATTTTTTTTCACTTCTGATTCACTTCCTTGATGCCCATTCATCTATGCCTTCTGTAAAAGCGGATGTACCCTTACAACATAACTCAGAGATCTGTCGTATTCCTTCTAAAAGACTGTGTTATGTCCACAAGTAAGATGTGGGTGAGGCACATCAGACTTGGGTTCTGTTCTCATTGGCTATGAATTGTAAGGAATACCTCTTTACCCCTGGAGTAGGGATACAGAGCGTTGCTCAGTAATGAAGGCCATGATGGGAAGAAACCCTAAATGCCATGAAGTGGAGGAAATGGATTTGAACACCTAGTTTGCAGGCTGAGCGCCAGACAATCTTTCCTGTAAGTGTGTGTTAATATGAAATGAGGTAGCTGCTCTGAAAAGAAGACTCTTCAGCTTCATGGGCCCCCACTTTGCATTTCCTCAGTCTTCTCATGTGGTAGAACTTTTTTTCTGAAATCAAGGAAGTAAGGGTGGAAGGAATCAGGTTCCTTCCCTGAGAGCTGCAGAACCCGGTGTCCTTCCTGCAAGTACTTTACTAGTTCTGCATGGGGGGGAACAAAACGGGTGTTTCAGGGTATGAGGAGGTAGATGTCCTTCCTGAAGGTGAACAAGAAGTTGTGTTGACCTGAGTTGTACTGGGATTTGTTAGGGGAGATAGTTCTGGGTGAGTGGTCATCTGTCTGGGAATTTGTTGCTTGCAGGGGTGATACAGGTGATAGGGAAGTTGGAGCTCCCTGTGGGGGGAGAATTCCTCTGAAAGGGCCTGTGCTTGGCAGGGGCTGCCCTGGTCTGGGACAGGCAGCACACGTTGTGGGAGCCTCCTGTGCTGTGCGAGTGCAGGGAAGCTCCCTTGCAGGCAGCAGGTGAGGTCTGGGTACCCCTGTGGAAACAAGGTGTCAACCCAGCTCTGCAGGGGATGAGCTTTGCTTCCGTTGGGCAGCAGTTGCTAAGGCTGGAGCTGTCTGTGCAGCTGTTGGAAGAACTCGCCACGGAGGTAAGGGTTGTGCCTGGCTCTGTCTGTCCCCAGGTGAATGGCGTGTCCCTGCACTGCGCTGAGCATCACGTGGCGGTGGAAGCTCTGCGTGGATCAGGAAGCTCCGTCTCCATGACAGTTCTGCGGGAGCGGATGGTGGAGCCAGAGAATGCCATCACTGTCACACCGCTGCGCCCTGAGGATGACTACAGCCCTCGTGAGAGGCGAGGTGGTCTACGCTTCCCAGAGCGACCTGAGGGGGCACCTCCCACAGAGAGATATTCCACCTGCCTTATGCGCAATGAGAAGGGCCTGGGCTTCAGCATTGCTGGTGGCAAAGGCTCCACACCCTACCGGGCTGGTGACACGGTCAGTAATGATTCCCTGGGAAGGAAGGTGCTTGATCCCCGAGTCTCGGCATGACTTGTGGGAGCAGCGCAAGGTCTTCCTCACTCATGGGCATGCAGCAGTGCAGCATCACCCTGGGCTGGTGGACCAGGTGGGCTCTGAGAGCCAGAATCTACTCTTAAGTTGGGGAAGGAGAGAAGTTCAGAAGGAGGTGGGGCTGGGGCTCACAATCCCTGCCAGTGACATTTAATCTTGCTGCTGTCCTCTTGACATATGTTCTGGGCTCTCGGCCACATGAAGGCTTTGCTGCAGCTGGAGGTTTTGCAGGTGGCTCTAAAAGCAGAAGAGGGTTTGTGTGGAGTGAGGTACAAATGGGAAGTGCCAGGGCAGGGGAGGGGTCTGCAAAGGAGAAAGGGCTGAGACCTGCCTGGTGTCCAGGAACAATTCTGGAAAGCCAAGCCCTGGTGAGGGGAAGCACAGGCTGCTCTGACCTTTCTGACTGTATTTCAGGGGATCTTTATCTCACGGATTGCAGAGGGTGGTGCAGCCCATCGGGACGGGATCCTGCACGTAGGAGATCGGGTCATCTCGGTAAGTATGGGTGTGCAGGGAAGGGGTCTGACTCAGCTCTCTGCCCTTCCTCATACAGGGGCTGTTTTTCTGTCATTGAAGCTGGATTTTGGGGGTCCTTTTTTCAGCTCCTGAGCCTTCTGGGAGAGCATTTAGTCTTGGTGGTTCTACCCCTGCCTGTGGCTGGTGGTGGGTGCAGTTAATGCCTCCCCTTTCCCCAAGCGCTGCATGTGAGCACTTCCCCACAGGAATGGCGTGTGGCGGTCTGGGCTGTACTGGAGAGAGATGATACGACAGCACTGCCCTAGCCTGGTATCCCTCCAGGGCCTTGTAGGACAGCCTTGGAGGGCTCTGCCGCAGCACAGTGTGTGGGGAGGGAAGCCCTTTAGGGCACAGCTGACCGGCTCCCTGTGGAGAGCAGGGTGGCAGGAGTCAGCATAGGCTGAAGTGGAGGGAGGCTGCCTGAGGGTGGTGTGGAGCTGGGCAGGGCATACCACAGTGCTTCCCCCTGCTTTAATTTGAAACTCCAGCCCCAGTTTCCCTTCCTGTTTGTGCCAGTAGTATGGATCTCACTGCTGCCTCTAACCTCAAGTCTCTGCCTAATGTGTCACTTGCTCCCCCTCCTGCGGGGAGAGTCTGCTGAGTCTCCTGACCCTCTTCCCAAGCTCGCATGCTGCCTCCGAGTGAAAGCTCCTGCATCCTGGTGCTGGTGGTGGGTTTCTGATCCAGCTGTTGTGGTAAGAGCACGTGTTACCACATAGCTGGCGTGAGTAAACACTGATACAGCCTTGTCAGTGCTGGCTTCTGTCTGCTCTATCCCTAGGCTGGGGGCTGTGTTGTATTTGCTCTGGCACAAAATTTTAGTGGAGCTCTGGCCTAGGTCTGACATTTGTATCTTGGCAGGAGACTTGAACTGGTACAGCATCTCTCCCTCCTTGCTAGTGCTCCCCCCTCCTCCCAAAATCAAGCCCTGACCCTGATTGTTGCCAGATAGCCTAAATTATTTTGGTTTTGCTCATCTTTTGATGCTCCACTGGTACAGAGGCATGACTGAGAGGCGTAATTGCAGGCACACAGCCTATCATGTGGTGTTGATTTCCTCTACCTGTGGCAAGAAGGAAACACAAGATCTCAGAATAGAGTCAAAACTTGAATCTGTCTCCACCCCATATTAGCAGCTCTATTTATATCTCTGGGCAGCTTCATAGGAAAAGCAGATCTAATTCCCTAGTTATAGCTTGCAGTGTCTTCAGACTGCAATAAGCTCAGGGCTTACAGAACTCAGGGCTTTTGTTAGATTTTAATGTGGATGAAGGCCTTGCTGTCATTAGTCCTCTGACACACCCCACTGCAATGATGAGTGCGGTGTTATTGCATAGGTAGGAAATAGGTCCATGCTTGAGAGCATGGTCCTCTGCTTTCAAGGACGTTACCTGTGCTGAAGTGTGTGTAGTCATAAAAGGTTTGGTGCTGAGCATCAGCTGCAGCTCAAGTCTTGTGCTCAGTTATGATGAAAGCGGGAACAGATTATTATCTTCTAGGAGACCACTTACCTAGTCTGGACTATTCACATAACTTCTGTGCCTTCCAGCAAGTCTCTGACTGTTGCTTCTCCAGCAGCCATGCCTCCAGGCAGCAGTTGCCATTCTGCCTTTCCTGCTTGTGGGGTTCACTGCTAAGTATGATATCCACGTAGTGGTAGTGTTACATCCTGAGGCCTCTCATATCTTCTTGGTGATATTTGTCCTTGAGAATATCTGCTTGCTGTAAGAGATGCATGAGCAGCTGTGTGAGTTTCGCTCGGTCTCTGGCGAAATCTGGTGCTAGGTTAGAGCTGTGGGGCTGCCCTGGCTCAGTGATACTGGATGTTGAGAGAGTGTCTGTTCACTTCAAAGCAGTGCCCACATAGCATTGTGTAAATTTCTTGTTTACCACAACTCTTTTGAAGCAGTGGTTGCCCATTTTTATTGGAAGGCTTTTTAGGATGTGATGATTCCTGGGATGTGCAGTGCAGGTTGCATGTATTCCCCTGTATCTGCACGGGGAAAGCAGGAGGGCCCTCGTTAGGATACAGGTGGTTTCACAGGTCCAGCAGGCAGAGGCCCATTTCCAAAGCCATAGTCTCCTAGTCATGCCTCAGTTCTCACTTTGCCGAAGAATTTTTGTTTTCTTAGGAACATAAATACAGCACAGCTTCATACTCTTCACCTGTGCTCTAAATCATCCTGGACTTCTCTCTGCAGGGGAAGGACTGGGATAGCTCCTTTTACTTTCTTAAGGGAGCTTTGAGTACATGGATTGAAGAACCCAGCCTAGATCTCTCTTCAAAGTTAACGCCCCACAAAACTCACCAGTTATTGATTACTAACTGTCCAGCTTTCCCCATATTCTAGTATGTCTTGACAGTCATCACAGGTATCTTGAGAGTCATTTTGGTAGTGGAAGACATGGGGCAGGGACCTGCAAGGGGGGAATGTTGGAGAGTTTGAATCATGGGATGGGAATCTAGCAGGGAGGGTGCAGGATTAGAATCATAGAATCATAGAATCATTAAGGTTGGAAGAGACCTCCAAGATCATCGAGTCCAACTGTCACAGATTGGGAGCAGTGGCTAAGGTCAGCTAGTTTTTTGGGATAGGACTGGGAGTAGACTGAAGAAAACTGATTCTGGGGGAGATTTAGGACAGTAGTAGCACCAGGTGACACATGGGGGTCCTAATGAGAGCAGTCTGATCGCCAAGAAATTTGCCAGAATAATATAACTCCCTGGCACACAGAAAAACGTGTGGAGCTGGGAAAGGACAGATGACACTCTTTTCCTTCCTCTGGGCACTTAGATAGCTGAACTGCACTGGTTGGCCTTGTTCTCTTGCTAAGCAGAGACAGCAATAAAGGCCACTGAAAACTACCTGTCCAAAAGCTGGGAAGGCATCATGATTGCCAGGTAATGGAGACGTTAATGAGTAAAATGCTATCAAGGGCTGTTATATATGATATACCTCTGGCTCAGGGTGTTCCTGTGTTCCTGTTCAGTAGTCTGGGGGAGTACCACTGTGTACTTTTGATCTGACCAAGTCTGACCATTCTCATCTTCTTGTCAGTAGCAGAAAAATAACAGAGGGGAATGTGTGAAGTCCAGAGTGCATGCTGCTACAGCAGGTCTGTCTGTGGAGTATGTTGGGCCTTGATCTGGTGATAAGAACCTAAGGGCCAAGTCTCTTCTGCATGTCATCTTTGTTAAAAATTGGTATATCTGGCAGACGGGAGGACTCAAGGGGATCCTCCCTTCCCAGTCCACTGGACACAAGGCTGCCGCTTTACCCCATTCCCAGGTCCAGCCATCAGGAAGGCTAAGTGCAGATTCCAAAGATGAAATACACTGCAAGCATGGCTGGCCACAGATTTACACAGACAAAAAGGGGGGCAGTATCTTTACAGGTGCACGCATAAACACAAACAGTCCTCATAGGACATGAACATCACAGACAACTTAACCCTGTTCCTACCCTCTGGCTAATCAGGTTTAAGGTTTGCTCGTGGAACATGCATATATACTCCCTCACTCAGCTCACATAAATATTTATGTTTGCAGGTCTCTTCAGTCTCTGGCCCAAGCGCCAAGTTCTTCAAGGCTCTTTGGTCAGACCCTGAGCCTTTTATCCAGTTTCTGGGCCAGCTGTTCGGTCTTTCCACATTTTGGATTCCTACTTGCTGGCTAGTCCAACTTGAATTTTACTAGTAGATCTTACGCGCAGACCCAGAGTAGAGAGCAAACTCGCACAGTAAATGCAAACAGAGTTTGATAAAAAGATAGAGCAGACTATGGCGATCAGGGACAGGGCTTGGCCAGGCAAGCATACTGACCAGCAGCCTGCTTGCATGTGATCAGCCTCTTTTATTCTCCACCCTCTCCATTTTCCCATGCTTGTTCCTCCCCTCTCCTCCTTGGCCACTCCCCTTTCCCACCTGTGATCCTTCTGCTAAACATCCCAAATAAGTTTTGCACATTCCCACAGTCCCCCTTAAAACTTCCTATAGCAAGTTTACTCTTTCCTGTGAGAGTTGTTCTGATAACCCATGATAATCTTGATTTCCTCTGCATATTGATTACCAAGCTTTTGGTCGCACTTTTTCAATGTTACCATTTGAGTGATTCCTTTAATGATCCATCCATGAGTGTCTGCATGTCTGCAGTCTCTGTTATCTGCATTTCATTAAGGTTTGTGCACCTGTGTGTTTAATTCATTATCTTTCCTGCTTATTGCCTTTGTCTCTTATGCTCAGCAGCCATTACCCAGGTACCTTTACATTCTTCCTCTTCCTGAATGCATGTGCAGGCTGGCATGCCTTCACATCCTTCTGTTTGTCCTCTATGGTTGGTGCCAAAGGTATCCCTTTGCAGATGATCCTCTGAGTAGAGGAGATGCTGTGGGGCTGAGCGTTGCCTGTTTTTGTCCAACACAGCACAGGGCTGTCTTGCCTATCTTCTTCCATGTCGTAAGGGGAGTAGCACGCTTGACTGTGGATGGGATGGGGCAGGTCGGGTGAGGGTGGTGGTGGTGGTGTTTATGGAGGTTCTGGACAAAGCCTTTCAGACTGTGTGCAGTCAGCTTTGTCCAGAAACTGCTTTCTTGGAAGGAGCTGGGGAGTAACTATAATATTTCTAGGAATCAGACAATGAGGTATCGGGCTACAACATCCAGTTGCTGTGGCTGTTACAAAGTCACGTTGTTATTATTTCGTAAGCTGATCAGACTCCATCTTAACAGCTGTTATTTTCGTGTCCTCATTGTTCATTCTGGAAAGCTTTTCCAGAACCTAAGGACTAGAAACCTTTTAATTCAACTTTTTCATGATGAGTTGCATCCTTTTGGCAGTGTTCTTCTAGCTTAGCTCTCCTCTCAGTATTCTGTCCGTCATACATTTATGGAGAACAGTTGCATCCTTTCTGGTCCTTTGAGTTTCTAGGCAAGCTGTTTTAAATCTTAATTTTGTAGGTAAGGCTCTCTGTTCCCCTGCCTTTCGTAGCAATTTTTCTCTGCACATCCTGTTAACTTATGTTAGATAATTTTTTTCTGTGTGAAGGATGAGAATAGTATATAGTTTTTCAGATGAATTCTCTTCAATGCTTTGTATGAATTACATTGCTGCTTCCTTGTACGTACTGGAAGTACCTCTTTGTCTGAAGCATTATATCTTTCACGGATATCACAAGACGACTGTAGTTGTATTCTTGAAATTATTTGGCATAGCATATTGCATAATATTTTCTTGTCCAAAAGAATTCTAGTTTTCCTTTTGTGTCAGCCAGTCAGTCACTGTGGACTAGCAGAGTCTCTTTCTCAGTGCTTCCAAGTCTTTTTATACCTGGGGTATACTTTTTGTGGCTTAAAACTGACATCTTCCCCAGACTGCCATGACCTTGCCCAGCACGGGCGGACAGCAGCCCAGTGGCCAGTGACAAGTCCTGTCACACATCAGATCGTGCTCTTCAGTGACTGTGTCTGGGCTTTGAGAGTGATTGATAAAGGCAAATGGCCTAGTGCAAAGGCAGCTGATACTGTGGCACACTAGTGTGCTGTGGCATCACTTCTGGGAATCACTGTTTTGTCTTCTTCCCATATCGAGATCTTTGGGTCCATTCCTTTAAAGCAACCTCTTGGGCTTCTTTTGTCGTGACCCAGTAGGAAAGCTGGAATGTAAAGCCAAGAAGGAGTAATGGGTAGTCTCCTGGTTATGAGTGAGCCACGGCATAGTCCAGGCAATAGCTAGGTTTGTAGTGCTCCAGGAGGTGGAGCATCATACTTGGTCTTCATGGTCCCCTGGAGCATCAGTGATGCTGGAGTGTGTACAGGGAAGATAGGAAGGGGGCTGGTAAGCTGTCTAGAAAGAGGATTGTGGTCAGGTGGGAATGAGCAGGTGTCTGTGTCCCTTTGCCAGATAGGAAGGAGTGGGGTAAGTTACAAAGTGCTTTGGGGAACAGGCTTTTGAGAAGGGGCAATGTTCCAGCAGAATGGGGTCCCTTAGGGTGCTTGGCTAAGTGCTTAAAATGACAGGGTGTACTCAGGTGATGGTCTGACACTGAGTTTGCGGGTTGTTCTAGATCAATGGGGTAGACATGACAGAAGCCAGGCATGATCAGGCAGTAGCGCTGCTTACTGCATCCTCCCCCACCATCGTGCTGCTGGTAGAGAGAGAGGGTGCAGAGCAGCTCAGCGAGGGAGACTCACCAGGCGTGCCACGAGTGCGCATGCACTCCCCACCACCGCCTCCCAGCCATGGGGAGAGCCCACCGGAGGAGGCGCCTTCGCTGCAAAGGAACCATCTGTCTAAAGGCCTGGAGGATCAATATCCCATTGAGGTGAGTCTGTCTGTTGGAATATGGGATAGTGTAATCTTGGGTACTTTTCATTTGAAAAATTGGTAGTCTGATGAGGGCTGGCCCACTCTGTTATTAGGGCGTTGAGAAGTAATGGGGAACCCCCTTGTCCTGTGGGTGCTTACCTTGTGCTCACTCATGCAAAATATCCCTGACTCCATGTTTTTCAGTGTCTGTGGTCCTTATGTGGTATCCCTTATTCCCTTTGACTCTGCTTCTTGTTCCCTCAAGGAAATTCACCTTGTAAAAGCAGGTGGTCCCCTGGGACTCAGCATTGTAGGAGGCAGTGACCATTCAAGCCATCCATTTGGGATTCATGAACCAGGTGTCTTCATTTCAAAGGTAGAGTCCTGTGTGAGCAGCCTAGCAGTGGACATTCCTGAGCTGTTTAATTATTGGGGTTAAGATGAAGGATTTTGATGCAAGAGTCTGAGAAGTACAGTATAGATTTAAAAAAAAAATGGGATGGGGGAGGGATGTGTGCATATGTAAAGAGTTAGCTTATGCTAGACATACTGCTGCTGTTGTAGAAATCTAGATGGCATGTAAAAGCCTGCAAACCTGTATAATTCATGCTGAACTGTTTGGGGAGACTTAGCTTTTGAAATTGCTGGGCTTATGTTAGCTTTTAATGAATCCTGGAAAGATGCAGGCATTTCAGAAAACCAGTCATTACTCAGAAAGTGTTAGTGGGATAAATGTGTAACTGCAAGGAAAAATAGAAGTGCTCTTTCGCATTCAGGCCAGTGTCCTTCAACCCGACATTCTCTTTCTAGCGGTGGCATTAGCTGATGCTATTTAGAGACAGCACACAAGCCAGCCACTTGCTGCAGCTCATTCCCTTTCCTGTCCTGCACATCCACACTCGTTGGATTAGGGATGTTAATGAGGACATCCCTGCCCAGCCCTTTCTGCATCCATATGTCTCTTGTCCCTTGGACATGCTGAATCTGTCTCCTCTAACACCCATGGCTGCAAGTCCCAGAACATCATTACCTGTCACCTGAAAAAGCACTCAGATCTGCTCTAAACCAATGTCCCACTGGTTACATTGAGTGCTCCTCCATTCTTATATTGCCAGTTTGGTAAACAGAAGTCCTGTATTCAGCTTATTCAGCACCTTCAGTGTTGTAAACTTCATTCATTCTTCTTCCTCAACTTTCTCTCCAAACCCGACTTGTGGTCTTCATTTCTCCTTGCAAGGTGCTGCTCCATCCCCTCATTATTTTAGTTGCCTTTCTATGGACCTTCTCTAACCCCACTATGTCCTTGTCAAGATGTGGCATCACAGGATCATTCAAGTTGGAAGGGACCTGCAGAGGTGATTTGATCTCACTGAAAGCATAGGGTCAGCCTAGACCAGCTTGCTGAGGGCCTTGTCTAGTCAAGTTCTGAGTATCGCCAAAGATGGAGATCTCACAGCCTCTCTGGGCTCCTCTTCCAATGTTTAACTGCTACTATGGTGAACCTTTTCTTCCTAATATCTAGTCAGAATTTTCCTTGTTCCAACTTGGATCCCTTGCCTCTCTTCCTATACCCCTGTGTATCTTTGAGAAGAGCCTGGCCTCTGTTTTCTCCGTACCATTCTGTTAGGTAGTTGAAGACAGCAGCAACATCCCCTTCAGCTTTATGTACTCAAGAATGAAAAACCCCAGGTCTCTCTGCCTCTCTTTGTAGAATGTATTCTCTACACCCCTGTTCATCTTCTTGGCCCTCTACTGCACTCATTCCAGTTTATCAGTGTCTGTCTCGTACTCCAGATGCAATGTCACAAGCACTGATTAGTGGGGAATGATCACTTCCCTCAACTCGCTGGTTAACACCCTCCACTGTTGCAAGGGCACACTGCTGATTTAGCTGCCTTTCACAGTATACTGGATCCAAGCCTCTGGCTAGAATAGAATCATTAAGGTTGGAAAAGACCTCTAAGATCATCGAGTCCAACCGTCGACCCAACACCAGCATGCCCACTAAACCATGTCCCTAATTGCTGCATCTACATG